GAAACAGCTGCAAGGACTTTCAGTAGTTTGGCGTGTTTTTTTTCTTCATGTAACCGGAGACAACCTTTCCTATATGAGGCACTATTTCCCTCCAGTTGGGAACATAACTGCAGTTTTAGTTTTAAAAAGAATTTGTGGCTTAAGAACTCTAACAAATCTTGGCATGCTTGAAGTTCATTGTAATTTTACTGTGTATAGAAATCTTTCCAAGAAGAAAGCTCCACAAAGCAAAAAATCTCTGTCTGCCTTTCTCATGTGACTTTTTCATGTCTCTATAAAATGACTTAATATCTAGCTTCATGCACTGCTCTTATTTTTCATCGCTTAGTTCTCTAAATGCTGTTACTTGAGAGAATTGTTTTGCTTGTTTGTGACTCCAGTACAAATAAACTATGACTTGGAAAACTGTCAACAGGAAGTTTTCAAGAGGTTTCTTTATGCCCACTGTAATTGTGAACAGAAAATTCATAGCAATAGAGAAGACAATCTTCCTCAGGTAGTAGTTTCATCTATTGTACCAAGAAATATTTGTTTCCTAAGTGGACTATAATTATGGATAACAGAGAACACTAAAGTCACTAGCAGTTTGGTAGAGGATAGAAGGGGAGGAAAAGGTTATGTTCAGCACAGTATCTGAAGAAAGACTTGGTGTCAGTTGATAAACCACATTTATATAGAAAACACCATTTTTGTTTCTACAAGACCCCTAAATTACTTAGGATCCATGGCTGTGAGTTTTGAATACTTTCAAAGGCCAACAATGAAATGATTTGAGATTTATGTTCTCAAAATGGTAGCAGGTTATTTTGGGATAGCACAAGGCTGTTACAATGTCATGCTAAAAAAAAAAAAATAAAGTTATAGTTTTGGTACAATTAAAACCTGGGCTATTCAGGATATATTTTGTGTTTGAATAACATGATGCCTTGGTTTGGCAATGATACCATTTATTGTTTTGTTACTCTTCCCCTTGGACCTTCTTCCCTTCTTCAACTTTCTCTTTCAACTTACCTTGAATATTTTTTTCCTAAAAGGACAAGGGTAAGGGTGGAGAAAATAAATTTTCTTTTTATCTCTTTTTCTCATCCAAATAGTGCTCTAGTTGGTTGGCTAGAAAATAAAAACATGTGTTTGTTGTTACTGATGCAGGTTTTCAAATTCTATTATGCCATTCCAGTGTATAAAACCCAAATCTCAACATTCTTAGTGACTAAATATTGGCAGTACTGTCTGCATGCAGATGCTGGAAGGAGATCTGGAATAGATTATAATCTAACTTTCAGAAATAAATAGAGCATGCACCATTAATATTTCATATAAAAATGAATCTTTTATATGGGCATCTCAAACAACTGAAAAATTGCTTTTGATACAGATATCAAGGTGAAAGAATGTCCTGCATTATCTACTCATTAAGACTCCTAATTGACCAACTTGTGCTGAAACACTGCCTTAAATTCTATTATACTTTCTTCCAGCTGAACAGTGATAACAGTGAACCCTTTTTTTCTTAAATGCAGCAGAATTTCTTTCTTTGTGTAGGGATAACAGCAACATCCCACTTGCTCGTGAAGAGGAGAGGGGATACTAAATCTTGAGTTCATTGCATGCCATTTGCGTGCAACTACTCAATTAGCAAACTGATCTCCCAACATTTTTTCTCTCCCAGAGCTGTGGATTGTTGGGGTGGTGCTCTTAAAGCAGTAGATTTCAGGGAATTTAATATAAGAGAACTCTAAGAGCTTTTTCTAAGAGGTTTTTTTGAAGCTTTTTTTTTTATTCTAAGAGCTTTTTCAAGCTGCTGACTGCCTTCATTATGTGTGCTTCAATCAAGTTTTAGGCTGATCTTTCTTAAAAACATTCCAGTGAAGCTCTGTTTCCTAGTTCAGTGTTAGGCTTGTGCCCCTTTGTGCTGCCTTCAGGCTGTTAAAATTTGCTTATTGCTAGCTCACCCAATGTAATACAGTTCTTTTGATTACTGAATATACATTTCTACACTAGTTAGAAAGTTTGACTCCTTCAACAAATTGTGTCTCACACCCTTTAAATATACCCTCTAGATTAGCATTAGCATCAACAGTCTGATTTTGTAGAGCTTTGTGTACTGTTTGCAAGTGACTAAATGGTATGTCATGCAATACAGAGAGAAGTTTTGAGGCATATTTCAAGGTTCAGTGATGCTGAAACACATGGGTTTATGCTGCAAGTTTTTCAGTATTTGAGCTTGACTGCTGTCCTTTGACTCCACATATTCTACCCTTGCAAACTGAATCAGTGAAGTGTCAGATGGGAGTGGTAAAAAGAAACCCTGATGGGTTTTTTTCATAAAAAAAAAACTGGATTTATTGTTAGTTATAGAATGGTAACTATCAGGCTTGCTTGCTCATGTTTGGTGTTCTTCATGCTGTATTTATTATAGATTCATCAACTTAGCACAAATTGTAGCTTACTTGCCTCTTACAATGTGAATATGCAGTAGAAATCTGTGCAAGTTATTGTTGCATAATTTTTGATGTGTCATTTGCTGAACAGTAACTGAAAATTGAGGAATTTTTAGAGGATTAAAATGAAGTTCTTCAGAAACATATCAAACACGATTAAATATTTTTCATTTATATTACAGTAACCTTAAGCTTAAAGGAAATGTAAGTCCTTTGTAGTCTTAATATTGTAATTGTACAATAGGATGTTGATTAAATTTAGACTAGACAGCTGCCCTATCCTTAAAAAGAGTATAAAGTTAATGATATATACAGTCTACAGCTTCCTCACAAGGGGAAGCGAAGAGGGAGACACCAATTTCTTCCCTCTGGCAACCAGCCAATAAGACCTGAGGGAATGGCATGGAGCTTTTTGAGGGGTTGGATTGGATGTTAGGAAAAAATTTTTTACCTGGACGCTGATTGGGCACTGGAACAGCTCCTCAGGAAAGTGATCACAGCACTAAACTCAACAAAGTTCAAGAAGTGTTTGGACAATGCTCTCTGGCACGTAGTGTGGTTGTTGGGGCTGTTCTGTGCAAGTCCAGGGGTTGGACTTGATGATCCTTGCTAGTCCCTTCCAACTCAGGATATTCGATGATTCTACTTAAAGAGTCAGTGAGCTGAGGCATGATCTTGAAGCGTACAAAACCTTTTAAATGTATAAACTATGTATGTGGTCTTATTTTTTTGGTAAATGTTTTAAGTATAGAGCAGATTAACACTGAAAAAATGTTTGAATTGTTGAGAGTCAGGCTAGCTGGCTCACGCTGTTAAATCTGCTTTTCTTTCTCAGTCTGTTATCTGGCACAGATAAATTGCAGGTTGGGAGTGATGGACAATGGGGAGAATTAGGATGTTTTAACTCTTGGAGGGAATACCGAGGTGTAAAGTAAAACTACATATGTAGAGACATATTAAACTAGAAAGATCAACTATGTTTCTGTAAATGAATGAAAATATTTTTTGCAAATAGACTAGGTGTGTTCACCCAACCAACAGCAGTATCGTGAAGAGATAATTAAGTTGCATTTCAGTGATAAGCTTGGGTCTATTAGCTTATATGCGTGAAAGTGGTATCTGATGAAAGTGGAATAAATTGTGACTGAATTTTGGGGATGGAATCCTCTGTGAAAGGAGGCTTCTGAGAACACCATTTTCTTCCTTCTGTCTAAATCTGAGAATTTGAGTTGGAAGAAAATTATATCTCTAAGGGTCAAATCAGAACTGAAAGTTTTAATCATGCTTATGTTAAGAAGAAAAGTAGACTTGCATAATGCAATCTTCTTAATCAGAAAAGTGGCTATAAACCTCTTATTCAACAAATTACTCCTACTATCCATTTATATAGCAACATTTCTTCTGTAACAATGTTTCTTGTTCTTTTTCCTGATGTTTGTATTGTAGCACCTGTTCAACTCAAATTTATTTGAATTCACCTGTGCTGTTGTAAAAGAAGTATTAGCTAAAAATCTGGATTTATTATAATTATCTACTCTATGCTATATGTTTCAACATAATTTGTATAATCCAGTACACTTTCAAATTGAAGTGAGGCAGATTTTGACTTTCAGAATCTACAGCATTTATGATCAGTTGCACAGAAAGTACAAAGCTTGACCTAAAATTCTAAGCTGATGTGAAGCTGTGACTTAAGTGTAAACTGTGAAAATTTGACCTGTAACCGCTCATTCCATTATGTATGGATATACTGAAAAAATTCATTTAATTTTTTTATATTTGAGGCAAATATTTTGATTTATCTGTGCTATAAGACTATGTTCCCTGCTTCTGAGACTAGGAGGTGGAGATGAGCAAGCAGAATCAGATACAGGTTCTTCAGTACTGTAAATTTCTGGCAACTTAGGCTATTTATTATAGGTGTGTCTGACAAACGTGGAGTTAGACATTGGCATTCAGTGTTGAAATGGCTTTGTGAGTAAATGAGAGTCTGAAATAATACTTTGTATTCCACTTTTAGGTATAAGTATAGAGAATAGCATATTAGTTTATATTATCTATCATTCACTTTCTGTGTTGCTATTATGCTTTCCTCTATGTATAAATTGGTTAAGTGGAGAGACTCATCCTATATTTGGCATCTATGAACTGACATCTCAAATATGAAGACCTATAGAAGTATAAAAATTGACTGTAGTAGCTATGAAATTCGAATAGTAGTCTGCAGCCTGTCAAAAGAAGGGTCTAACTTAAGGCAGAAAGCCTTAAGTTGAAGTTCTAATAGTGTAAATTTCTGAAAGAGCTGAAAAAAAGGTTTTTTAATTATTCTAGGACTTTTAATAGCATAATAAATGAGTATGCTTGAAAACCCTTAACTTTGTAAATGAACACTTAGTTTTTTGTTTAGGTTTTTGTTTTGTTTGTTTGTTTTAATGTAAGCATACTCTGTTTTCTGGTATTTTATGTGAAGTGAATGGGAAATCTTATTTTACTAATTTTGTAGGTGTTGTTTTTTACTTTTGTAAATACTTAAAGCTAACAGCAGGTTGCTATTTGCAGATGAAGCAATCTTCAATTAAATCCCAGTTTGCATGTACATATAAAAGTGATTTGAGTGAAATGAGTCGTCATCGTTCCCTTGAAATTCCAACCTGCAAACATCCTGCACCAAAGGAACATTTGAAAGCCGGATATGGGACAGGTAGGTTGTGGTAGGATTGATTAAGTAAATGTGGGAGCTAATATTTCAAATGTTATCCAAAAAGCCTTTAGTAGAACTCAAGTATAACTATGTTTTCAAGAAAAAAAAGTGTATGCTATAGTCAGTTAAATCTCTTTGAATTAAAATTGTAATGCTAACACTTTGAAAATATGAATGTTTCAAAATTACGTGTTGATGCTATCTTGAGGTAAAAAAGTTATGTGTTACCTATGTTACATAAGGTTTGTTCTTTTTTTACAAAAGTAAACCAAGTGAATTTTCACTTTTGCCATTAAAAGGGACGAGAAATTTGTTTTAATCCACTACAAATTATATCGTACATAACATTTCTATGCCCTTAAAGCCTCTTTTCCAATATCTTAAAGTTATGAATCCACTTCCCTAAGTTAGTTGCTGTTACATGTTTTTGAGCAATGTCATTTCAAATTGGCAATACGGTTATGAACACATAGCAAATGTAATTGCCATGGCCAGTATAGCTTTGTTTTATTGAGGGAACATTAGTTTTAATTAAAAAAGATAACCTGGCAGTCTTGGTATAAAAAGGATGTATATTCCCAGGTAACTTTTTATTTCTGCACATAATTTTTTTTTATATTCTTACATGACAGAAGGTACAAATTCATGTCTTGATGTACCAGTGCTTGGAACTATTTCTGAAAGTCTTCACCAGACTAGAAGTTGTACAGAAATGGGAAAGCTGAGTTGTCAGCCAAGGAACAAGAACTCCAAGAATGAACAGATGGATCTGAATCTGAATAATGACAAAGTAATCTGTGACAAGGAAAGTGAACCATCTTTGCAAAAAAATGCTAAAAGACTTAAGACTTCAAACAACTCTCAGAAGGAATTGGACACCAAAATTGGTGGAAAAAGAAAACAGACCAAAACTTCAAGTAAGAATAAGCTGATTGCTGGTCAGGCAAAATTAACTGAGTTTTTTCGACTATAGGTTTTTGTTTTGACATTCATAGTATGTTGACAGTTGTAGAATTTTGTGAGAAAAAGGGTGAAATTCATGAATTGTGTCCTTTCATACTGAAATAACTGAAAGTAACCTGTGTACAATATTAGACAACTTATTACAAGTCTGGATTATGCTGAAGTCTTTTATTTTATAATAGCAACACATTGATAGTAATTGCAATTTGTTGTTTTTGGTAATGAATTATGTATCCCTCTACAATGAGATGGGAAATTATTTTTGGTTGCATATGTATAGCCACACTAAAACACAGTAATTCAAATTACATTAAATTCAAAATAAAATATGTAATCTTCAAAGATGGTGGTGCAGATCAGTAGTTTTCATGCTTGCCAACAAGGTCGATAGACTCTTCCCAGCATACACCTGAGTACTACAGGAGAAAAAAAAAATGCTGAAGGTTTCAGTCTTCAAAGAATGAGAATTCTTATGGCCTCTGAAAACAGTAATTTAAAAAATGCTCCCTCCCCTGTGCACCGAATCACAACAGACATGGAGTTTCTACATGAAATTTTATCAAATTGCTATATTGACATTGCACTATACTTTACCAGAATGAAATGATTTTTTGCGTAAAAATAAAATTTATTTACTGTCAAAATCTCTTCTTCCTATAGGGAATTTAGCTGAATTTTCTTCATCTGTGGTTTCTCTTTCCTGTATTGACCCAATATTTCGAATTTCAGCATCAGCTGGAAAAGCCATGGCTCCCTTCAGTAGCTGTTTTCTACCTAAGTTGATTGGCCTAACGTGATTTAAGAAATCACGTCTGGAACCTGTGTCCTGTTTTGAGGGAAAACAAGAGTAGTGGTTTATCTTTATTCACAGCCAGTTGTGTTCAAATTTTATACTTTATACTTCGCAGTGCAACTACTTGATGTTGCAAGATCATATGCTAAAAGTAATGACCTGCATTACATATTTGGCTGAAAAGTTTTAATGATAAAAAACATAATGAAATAATGAGCCTCCTGTTTGGTGAAGTTAAAAACCTGTTGCTGCATATAGGGACATGCTGAATCAAACAAAAATATAGGCTTTTTTCCCCCACAAGCTTTGGCTACATATAGTTCTGTAAAAATCAGATTTAATTCAACTGTCCAAGTTACACATTCAAAATCCTGGCACTAGATACTTACAGCTGAAAATTTATTCTTGACTATGGTATGTTAAACTGATATTTTTGTATATTTACCGGGTTGTTGCTTTAAATTATTGTACTTGTTTTCTAAAGGGGTATAAAGAAATTTCCTTTTTATAATTAAGCCAAAACGTAAAACTGAACTCACCAAAAACTTCATGTTTCCATCATTCTTTTCATTGAAGACAATGCTGTCTTCTGTCTTGTAATGCTTCAGCAAAGGTATAGCTCCTCTCTTCATAGCTCTATCTCCATTTTGAAGAGTTTTTCCTAGATTTAGTGTGGTTAGCAACATATCTTCATCTTCTACCTCTTGCAGAGATTTTGAAACAGAGAGTAGAAAACCTTGAGAAAAAAGAGAGAGAGAGAGAATTAACATGTAGGATGAGATACACATTCTTGGTTATTTAAAGCTTGCATAGACGTTCAGCAGTTCTCAAATTTTAAGAAAGCTTTTCCAGTTGTAAATTAATACATTCTCCATTTGTGCCCACTTTATATATTTTACAGGTTGAATGGAAACTACTTCAGTGGCTGATGAGTTCACCCTTTTAAAATGACTCATATTAAGGAGTAACCTTTTCTATAATCCTCCTAATCCCATCTGTTGTTTAGAACTAAAACTTTTCTTTATCATGGATAATTTGTTTCTTTGTATGTTTTCAGAACAGCGCAGATTAGTTCCTTTTGATGGGTCGGTACAACAAAGGTCACAGAAAAGGTGATGTCCATTTGTGATGTTTATAAAGCCTTACTTCCATTTAAGGCAGTTCGAGAAAAGGAACTAATCTACTTAAGTAAGAAAGACTGTTGTAAAGATGTGATCTATCATAGCTTTTGATCAAAACTTGATTCACTAAAGAGTTGAAAATCTTGAAATTTAATGATAGCTTAGGCTGCTACTGTGTTAGAGCTGAAATCGTTAGTTTGTATTTTGATGTCCATTGTATGAGGTTGCATTATTCAGAGTTAATGTCTAGAAATATTTATTAATACATAGTATTGTCTTTGTCTTCATTTACTTACTGAAAGTGGACTTTTCTCATCTACGAATATAACATAGTCAAATATGCTTGCTAAGAATGTAGAAAGAAAAGTAATTTTCAGTTTTTCCTTTAAAAAGTCTTTGAAATGTATCTGTTACCCTGTGGAAGAAAATGTAGAAATTTCCACATGCCATGTGGGGTTTGTTGGGTTTTTTTGCCTTATCTGGAAAGCAAAGGGGCCAGCTGAAATGTAGCTAATCTCTTAATGTCAGTGATACAAACCACCTATTCAGCGGCTGTGTGCCTCTTAGCTGGTAATTCATGTTTGCTTTATCTTTTAGCTTAGTGCAGGATATCAAACATCCTGCTATTCAAGGCAAACCACTAGGAAACTGAGCACTGATCACTGGTGCACCAGTGATCAGAGCACTGATCACTGGACAAGCGCCTACCTTGCAAAAGTAACTTCCTGATAAGAAGTTTCACGGCAAAATATGTCATCCAATCTCTTTTTGCTGCTTTGTATTTTTCCCTCGTATTACATATTTGTATAGTTTTGTTCAATTAATAAAGCACTGGAGGAGTGCTTTGGAGCTGTGTTGGCAGCAAACTTTTCTTTTTATGTTCTGGTATGCATTAGGAGTCGGGGGAAAAAGCTCTCAAGCCAATAACTGTGTGTGTGAAATGAGCTTATCTGAAGCTATAGCACAGGTAATCAGTGTCTATCACACATAGTTCACTTTCAGATACTTCTCTTATTTAATACAAAGAACAGTTCCAATGAGTACAGCTGGCCTGGATCATTTGGAAAGCCCATCTACAGTGTCTGTCTAATTGTGTAATATGAGACACAAGCCCATATCTGTGAAAGAATATAAGATCGGGGCAGACTTGTGGTGTTCCCCCCAGTATACTCTACTGCTTCTTGAACTGGTTGCTAATTTTAAGTTTTGTTGGATATCTAAGGTGGTTCTAGTGGTAATTAGTAGAACCTTCTAGTTAGACTGCTAAGAAATCAAGAGCATATGTCTATAAATTCAATGACTTATCTAAACTGCTCTGAGCAGGCAGAAAACTTTTGTACAAAACTGCAGATTTGCAATGTGTGTGGCCGAGTACAGCTCTTCATCATACCTCATACCTAATACTCTGATGTCTACATATTTTCCTTTTCATTCTGCAACTTTCAATTTTAGTACAAATGTATAATGTTTTAATATATCAGCTTCTATGTTTATCATTGTTTATGAAATTGTGGGGGTTTTTTAATTTTTAAATAGTAAGCAGTAACCTGGTACTGCTTCCAGAACAATAACAATTATTTTGAGAAACTCTTCTTGCTTCTACATTACATCTAGTTACAACAAAATAAAAACTCTTTAACGTCCGAAATCTCACGTGTTATATGTGAGTAAATAAAATCCAGGTGACAATGTGCCTGGAATTTCTCCCATACTCATTTTGAATTCTTCTAGGAATGGGTTACAAAACAATTGTAATAGTTTCATTTAGCCTTGTAACTACTGTAACTGCCATATGCAAGTGTTTGAACCTAATGCCTAGTATTGACTGAACAATAAATAAACCAGGTATGAAGTCTATTTTGTTTCCCCCTATTATCAGAATTGAAAAACTTTGCAATGCAAGAGAGACTATTAAAGCAACCTTAATAAATCATTTTAATGAGTTGTAAAATAGCACAAAAATACTTGGTCAATATTAATATGCCCAATGGCATACTACTTCAGATTTTAAAAGATGGTTTGGGGTTTTTTTGTTTGTTTTATTTTTAGTTTGGATCTTGTACATTTTATGCAAGCAAACAGCTGTATTTTAGTCCTTTTAGAGTGCAGTTAGAAGATATTTGACATTTGAAGGAATGCCACGCATACTGAAACTTTGGAAGACTGATTTAAAACCAAACCCAAACTCTTCATAGTAGTTGTTCATTTGTGTGATCCTCTAGTAGCAGAGGAGGGAATGCAGACTCCTTCTTATACCTGCAGAGTGTAAAAACATGGAGTTATGTGCATAATGTGTATTTCCAGGCTACTTAAAACATTTGGTTATTTTTAATAACAACATAACATCCTCTTCAGTTGATAAATAAGTGAATATATTATATTTTTTGTAGCAGAATGAAGAAATCTGTGGCATGAATTTTATTAAAAGATGAGTTTTAGCAGTAGAGTTATCAGTATGCATTCTGTATTGTGTCAGACACCTAGGTGAAACTGTTTTAATTTCTCAGGCGTGGATTTTATTTTTTCCTGAAACTTTTTCTTGTGATATTGGACACAGTAAAAAGAATAGAATGGAGGTATAAATTGATCTGTGCATTTTGATTAGCACTGATATACAAATGAAGGTAAAAATATTCCAGAAAGGATTTATAAAATCTAGCAAGTACATTTGCCAAGAAGCTGGCTACAACCACTCAGTAGGAAGTAATGAGATTATGAGTTGTATCTGAAAACCTAATCCTTTCCTGGGTGTTAGCTGTATCAATTGTATTTGCTCATACATTTGCTCATTTTGGAACCAGATCCTGGAACTTCCTTAAGGAAGTGGGTACTTGCTTTCAATACCCCCATGATACAGACTGTCCATCTAACTCCCTAAATGTTTTAGTTCCAAACCACTCCCACCCCAAATCCAACGAGCAGGTGCTGAAGTGGAGATTCTCTGTGCAATAATGGAAAGAACTTACCAACTGTTCACAGGACATATCAGAGGTAATTAGCATGCTTCATTATATTGACTGTAGGAAATTAAGACTCTTGCCTAGCACCATTTTGTTGTCCTTCCCTGCTGAATCAGCAAGTTAATTTAGCGTAAAGTAGGCACAAGGATGGTTATAATAGGACAACTTTGAGCTTGTGCAGGAGCACAGCTCCAAATATTTCGAGAACGTGAAGTCATTGTCTGTATATGTGCCTGGAGAATGTACAAGAAGAAGAGTGGGGGTAAATCCCCACAAACTAAATGAATTTTAGTGAATTTCTGCCCAAGATCCAGAGTAGCCATTTCAGTTCTCTATTGAATTATTGTCTATGTGTTTATAGAATGAAATGTTGCATTTGTTTGTGTTAACAATTAATTTCACTGTTGGAAAAACTTTAAATATTCTCTGCTGGTTTTTTTGAAAGGCATTTCAGAATTTCATTTGGAGAAACTGCATAGAAATGTACATAATGTCCTTAATAATACAATGAAATGGTCTGTTGTTGTAGGAATAATTTACCAATATGCTATATTTAGAATTAATTGAGTTGTTCCTTTTACTGTTTAAAAATAATTGAAAAACCTCTAAAACCTGTGTCATCCACCCCCCCCCAACAACTGAGTTTCTTATTCTGAAGGACCTTTTGCAAAACAGTCCATATGTAAGTCTACTAAGGGACTCCCAATTAATCAGTAAAGTGGAAAGAGGAGGAGGGGAGATTCCTCAAGCAATATTAGCTTCTTAATTAAGAAAAAAGCAGTGGTGATAATGAACTTGCTGAGTAAAACTAGACTACTAGGCAGAAATTGAACAGCAGAATTATAAACATTGACCTGTTGGTTACAACAGATAAATTTTTATCTGCTGTTGGCTTCACAATAAATCTGTAAGCAGAAAACCTTATTAGTATCATAACCTAAATAATAACTTTGGACTTTAAAGTATAGATGAAATCGTTGTATCATTTTTTTAAGCATTATTAACTTCAGTTTCCCTTTAGAATACTTTGCTCTGATTTTATGTATATCTTTTTAGACTATTTTGTTTCTCTTAATTCAATTGTACTTCATAAAAAAGCTATATCTTTGTGGTGGTTAACCCTGGCTGGACAGGGGAGAAAAAATATAGGCTTGTGGGTTGAGATAAGGGCAGGGAAAGATCTCTCAGCAATTACAGTCATGAGAAAGACAGACTCAACAAGGGGAAATTAATTTAATTTGTTCCCAATAAAATCAGATTAGGATAATGAGAAAATAAACCCAAATCTAAAATTCACCTTGTCCCCAACCCTCCTTTCTTCCCAGGCTCAACTTCACTCCCCATTTTTTTCCCTTCCTCTCCCCCAGTAGTGTAGAGGGATAGGGAATGGTGGGTTTGGTAGGTTCATTAAATGTTTTCTCTGCTGCTCCTCACTCGTCAGCAGTAGGATTTGGATTCTTCCCCTGCTCCAGGGTGGGGTCCCTCCTATGGGAGACAATACTCCATAAGCTTCCCCTTCCCATGGGCTGCAGTTCTTCACAAACTTGCTCCAGCATGGGTCCCTTCCATGGTATGCAGTCCTTTGGGAACAGACTGCTCCAACATGAGTCCCCTGTGGGGTCACAAGTCCTGTCAGCAAACCTGCTCTAGTGAGGGCTTCTCTCTCCATGGACCCACATTTCCTGTTTCAGGCTGGGCTTCCCACGG